GTGCGTATTAGATGAATGTACAAAATTCACAGCACCAATTAATGATCTGGCATGGCGACTACAGCGGATTCAGGGGATTCGTGTAAACACCGAATGCGCCCCGTGTCAACGTGGATTTTTTTCCTCGAATCAACATCAGAAAAAAACTACATTTCCCCTTGCCGTGTCCGTGTAAACGGGGCCTAAATTGCTCAGGGAGGCACAGATACTCAAAGACAAGAACTCGTGGGCTGGACATCAGCAGTTATTGTCATTAAGTTTGTTTTACGATTTAAAATCTAGTTTGATTTAAAAATGAACCCACTGGTGGACCGAACTGAGCTCAGCCATGGGCCTGATTAGGCCCCTGATCCCCAAGCTCCTAAAAACAAGGGTGACTTTTTTTCTCTTAGAAGAAAAAGCCATAGAGGGTTATTTATAAAAGCAAAAAACACTCTTAAATCTTGTAAACAACTGTTTTATACTTTTATAGAAGCAAATATAGGATAATAATAAACAGTCAATTGTCCAATGCTGTAAAAATCGATGAGTGCTGCAGCAATTTTAATGTAAACTGTCAAAACCAGCTGCACAGGCATTAATGATTAGATTGAATTTAACTTGAAATTTTTAGCAGACAATACATAAATACACAGGGACAAAGATAGATGGATTAACATGACTGATCGGTAAATTTAGATTTATTACATATTAATTGCTTTTCTTCTATAGCAACTTTATGTAGATAATAAAATTTACAGCACCTGCATTAAGCACCTCTGTCCAGATTCCAGACCAGATGACCCTCAACCACTTTGAATAATTTTTCTCATTAGCTTTAAACACTGCCAGTCCAAGTTTGGACCACTGGTCATGTAACATCCAACTCACTAAAACCCACAGACACAAAACACTGAATAATATAATCTCTACTCCCAGCTCTTTTCCAGAAATCTGTATTTTTCTGCCTCTGACCTTTTTTAAATTGGCCCGTTTTTTAAACGGCAAAATGCTTTTCCATGTGCTCTCTATCTTAGAAATGGAAGGAAAAAAAAGTTCTCATTGTTTCCACGTTCCACAAAAAAGACGAGTTTAGTTGGTGCCAGCAAGAACTTTGTAAATAAAATTTTAAAAATCAAGTCAAAAACAACTGGACTATATGTGTAGCAGAAGATGTTTCGCTTCTCATCTGAGGAGCTTTCTCAGTTCAAATAAAAGAGACTGTGGGTCGAGTTATAAAGCCGAGGTAAGCAAGACGCATATGCAGGTTGCAAATGCTGTTCTAACAATAGGGGTGCGTAACGTGGGTACGTAGGGCCTTTGTGTGTCTGAGTCAGAGAGGAGCCACTCTGAAATTCAGGCTAGGTGTGAGTTTTGGTACGTCAGGTGATTCAACATTAGGCCCCGTTTACAGGGACATGGGCGGAGGAGACAGTCTCCCCAAGACCAAACTGGCCAAAAGTCTGTCAGTGATTTATGCACGATGAGGCCGTAGAATGATGCCGCCATGGCTGAAAACTCGCTCCACTGGAGGCACTGTCAAAACTCTGGTGACCACATGAAGCAGTGAAGGAAGAGTCTGCACGCTCATTGTCCAGAACAAGAGGGCGCTCGGTCAGCAATATCCAGGTTAGCTGTAGTGCTGGACTGGTCGTACATCCACCTTCTGCCTTTTACAGTAAGCAGCAGTCCTCCATCTGCACAGTCCTCTTGAGCCTCATCTCCAGGAGGAGTCGCAAGTTCCTTCGATTTTGCAGGATCTGCATCATTTTGCACGTTCACGTCTGCAAGATAAAAAAAAATAAAAAAAATTTAAAAGAGCCCTATATTTTAGACAAAAAAAAATACAGAAAAAAGTATTCGAAATACAATCTTTACCTGTAACTTTTTATGTCACCTCTGTCTGTCACAACTGCCCAGCACATGGTGTTTCACCCACAACAGAGAAAATGCTGGATCCAAAGCAGCTGCTTTGAGGTACACGGTATCAGAAAAGGGTGCAGTGATCTTCTGCTTTAGCCATTCGGACACTGATAAAGATTCCAAGAAATTGGTCAAAGATGTCTGGAGACAGGAAACAGATTTTAAGGCTCAACGTGGTGACTGAAGGACAGCACAGATACAACAACACCACTGATCGAGACTATTTTCTCGCCTTGTGTAAAATCTGTTGCAGTGAATGGTCACTTCTTGTGCACAGCCATTTCAAGAACAGACCAGAGTTTTTACATGTTCACATTGGAGAGCTGCCTTCACTTGTCTCAGTGTTGAATTCCATCTTGTGATTACAGCAGCAGGGATGCCTTTCTGTTCACCAAATTCAGCTTCAAACATCTTTCAATGTTGTGCTCGTGTGCAGTAGTGAGCTGAGCTTAGAGAACTTAGAAAGGGCAAGAGATGCCACTTCGGTTTCTGTGAAGCCATCTGAAACCACCAGCTGAAGTGTACGTGCAAAACATTGCAGACGCTGTTTCTTGGCTATAGCAGCACCTACTGTTTCCTGATCTGCCAAGGTTGAGTCGTGACGGAGCTCTAGGTCGTCAAGATCAGTGGATCTCAAACGGTTCCAGGAGGGAGCTTCTCCCTGCACCTGTGGGCTGCACACAGGCGCTAAATCATTTCAAATAATTTATTTTCAATAAACAATCCATGCCGCTCTTGCAGCTCATCCGTCAATCAGCCAATAAGTGTCATGTCCGATCTTACCTTGAAAAACCGCAAACGAGCGAGTCCGCAAAAGTCGAACCGCGAAGTAGCGAGGGACTACTGCATGTAAAGATTTCATTTGCACCTTCTGACCAAACTTTTAGGAGGTGTTCTTGTTCATATTGTCCATTTTTCCTCTTGGTTGTCTCGTACCATCTTGTTTTCTGCTCATCAGGTCTCTCTTGTAAATGAGTCCTCGAGGCTCCATGAGACTAACCTGTATAAATAAAGGTTGAATGAATGTCCATCCATACACACATGCATGCAGTTTAAGTCTTAATTGGTCATGCACACATATATGCAATACTGAACTCCAACAATAGATGTCAGTGACACGACAGAATTTCAATGATTTTTTTTCTGCGACAGCTACAGTCATTTTGGCAGATTTAAATTTGATGTGGTAGTAGTTAAGAGTAGTTCACAACTCATACTGCAAGTGCTACTCGTGGTGTGTGATCTTTGCTTCAATCTTTAGCTTTAAATTTTGGAGTCAACTCTGTTGATCTGTTATTAAAATATCTCATGTAACACTTTTTAATTAAACTTTCTGAAAGTATTAACTGGATGTACAACTGATTAGCCAACCCAATTCAAAATGGCTACAACAGCTAATCAATTCTGATCAAGAAAGCTCATCAGAGACTCTACTTCCTCAGGCAGCTGAGGCGAGCTGGTCTGGGAAGCTCAGTCCTCACCTCCTTCCACAGGTGTGCAGTGGAGAGCATCCTGTGCTCCAGCATCAACGTGTGGCATGGAGGCTGCACAGCTGCAGAAAGAAAAGATTTGCAGAGAGTGGTGAAGGCTGCACAGAAGATGTTGGGGTCAGCCTCCCCACCATCACAGACATCTACACCTCCAGATGCAGGGAGAGAGCCACCTGCATCATGAAGGACCCCACTCACCCAGCACACAATTTTTGCCCTGCTCTCATCAGGCAGGAGGTTGCAGTGCATTAAGTGTAAAACCACTAGACTGAGGAACAGCTTCTACCCTGAGGCTGTTAGACTCATGAATCTCTAACTAGAATAATCACTGTGGAAAAAAAAGATAAATCACTGTAAAGCCACTTTAATTGGTGATATGACACTTTATCTGTGCTGCTGATTCATACCCATCTGCTCACTACAGACTCATGTTCAGGCTGCTGTTTAATATAACTTTTTATTTAACATTATTAGCGTTTAGTGTATATCTTAGATCCTTGTGTACTCTGTTTTTATACTTTACAGTATATATATATATTTTATTTTTTGCTATTTTTGGGCGTAACTTGGACTTTGAGTACACAATTTCGTTCCACCTCATGTACCACATGTGATGTGAATGGCAATAAAGAACCTTGAACATTAACCATCACAAAAACTGAATATAACTCGCCCATTTTTCTTGTACTTTTACAATTACTGACTTTATATTTGTTGTGGGCTTGTGGCAGTACAGTTATTCTCAACACATACTTTGAGTGACATCTTATGAGATTCATAATTTTTGTTTGTTTGACCTGAACAGACATAATTCTAAAATGAGAAAGGTTTGTAAGCTCAATCATCCAGGTAGATAAATCACCAAAAAGATGAAATCATGTCATCTGGACCAGTTTCTTTAAGGGACAAACGTTTCGTCTTCCATCCGAAAGACTTGATCAGCCTGCCAACCAGATCTGTCCCATAAATAGCACCTCCTTGATGTGCTTCATTGGAATTCAACAGGCTGGCTTGAAGGAGGTGCTATTTATGGGACAGCTCTGGTTGGCAGGCTGCAGACTGATGAAGTCATTCGGATGGAAGACAAACCATTTTAAAGAAACTTGTCCAGATGACATGATTCAACCTTTGTTTGATCTACAAGATGAACTTACTTCAGGCATATTCATTCCTTCAAGAAACGTAGGTCTTCATTCTTAATTATTTGCTTCTTTGTGGCAAATGTTATTACTTTTGGTCATTTTGTCTCTCCTGCCTGATTGTAGAAACATTTTGTAAATGGTGTTTTTGATCATACTCCCAATTCAAACTATTTTTGGGGATACTTCAATTAGGCTACCTTAAGTCAGTGGGCATAGAGAAGAACCAATAACAGTCACAAGTCATTTCCAGATTAGTTATGTGAATTAAACGATGGAATAATAATCCTCCCTCACTAGAATTCAAAACCATGCTCGTCTGAAGACACGAGCATCATTTTGATTCTACCACTAGGTGTCACAAGTCATCTCAACCAGGCTGAATTACAGTAAGCACACAAAGCAACTAAAACTCTTTTTGAGAGAAAATATTTTCTCTAATAAATTTTATTTTTACATAAATTGTGCAACAAGTATATTTCCATCTGAAAACATGAAAATCGTTTCTTAAAGGCCACCATCTGCACCACCGCAGCCCCTCACATACGCTCTCCATGTGCTCGCTCTCGTCTGTACATCATCTCCGGAGGAAGTTAATCTGCATTCACTTTTTTTCCCCCTCAGCCAACGAGTCTAGTGCATGTTTCACACATTCAGTCGTTTCTGAAACACGCACTACAAAAGCATCTGGCTGGGAAATAACCAGAGCACCAAGAACTCTGTTTTAGGCTTAAGGCATGGTTAAAGTTATAACAGTATCATCAGTAACGTTGCTAACGTGTTGACGTCAAAGCAACTCCCAGGTATCTAAAACCAGAAAGGAAAAAAAAGAGAGACAATCTTCATTTACCAAACACAATGAAAAACTTCCCTTTTTGAAGTTATTCCAAAGAGACAAGCGATATGTACGTGGGACTCAAAAGAATTCATCTGGAATGTTTCCTGTTTTTATGCACAGGAGTGTTCATGTATAGGCTTCTGTCATTATTTGGGCTATTTTAATAATTTAATCTACACATGGCAACATCAAACAGCTTACATTTACTGTAATTAAGACCAAATTAAGAGAAAATGTATTTAATTGCAGCATCTTATTCAAAAATGAACATTTAAGCCAATTTAACTACTGGGTTTCAGTGCGCAGCATGTAAACAAAGCAGGTTGTCATGTTTGCTCATTTGCATATGTAGTGTTTCATAAGTTACGTGAGACTATTAAGATGCATACCAATGGTTAAATTAAGACTTAATATAAAGTTATCCTAAAGTCTGTGCCCATAAAGTTGATTATTTGCTCACGTGCATGTCTCGTGGAGGGCTGAACAGGCAGGCACTGACTCTGTGTGTGTAAATTTGAATAGGGAGCGTATTAAAGTGTTACAACCAAAGCAATGGAATGAAAATGAGCTCCTGCTCACTTGGCTCTTCATGATGAACTCTGGACGTGTGCCAGACGAGGGCTGATTGTTCCCAAAGGCTCTGCCAGAAGTTAGCATACAGCCTACAGGTGTGCTTTAAACAGTTCTAGATGCAGTAGTTCACACTGTGGTCAGTTTTCTTCTATAAGGCTCAAGTCCAGTTCTGTACAATCTCTTTCAAATATGTTTTTTCCAACATCCAACACAGTCCTTTTTCTTTCCTCCTCTTCCTCTTCACTTTCACTTAGAGGGCCGATGCTGCTTCGTCCCAGGATTTCAGCAGGGGAGAAAGTGAAGCGATGCTCTGATTGGGAGGATGTTGGAAATATGAAGTCACTTGTTCCACACACCAAGTTCTCAAAGGTACCAATCTATAGAGGTGGAAAAAACACAATAATTGCACAATGCAATATTTTCAGGTGGACAAATAACGACAAGTGCACCAAGAAGCTTGTAGAAAAAGCTCTTAAGGTAAAAACTGGTACCGTACTTGTAATTTAACTGGTAGTTTACATTTTGTTTTTTCTTCTTTCAGCTGCTCCCTTCTTCAGGGGTCACCACAGCAAACTAACTCGCACTAAGATTTGGAAATTTATTTTTATTTTTTTTACACCGGATGTCCTTCCTGACACAACCACAGACCACTGAGCTACCACAGCCCTCTGTGTGGAGCAGGGGGCTGCCATCTATGTTGCCTGGGGGAGCAGATGGTGGGGGTTAAGGGCCTTGCTCAAGGGCCAAGGGTGGGATAAATGAGGATGGAGACAGGTGTGGGTGATTTACCTTTCCCACTCTCATTTTGATGTCAGTCTGGGGAGTTGAACTGGCGACCTTCTGATCACAGGCCCACTTTCTCTAACCTCTGCGCCACCACTCCCCTTCATTTAAGTTGTGATAGTGAAATGTCAACGTGTAATGTTGACAGATGTCAGAAAGATCTCAGAGGACAACTGAAACATATGAACACCGTTTAGACCAGGACTATTCAACTGGAGGCTCGCGGGCCACTTCCAGTCCAAATTTAAAAAGGTAACAGATCGTTGTAATACTTGATTTATTTATATAATGACTTTAATTGCTGGATGTCCGGCCCCTGAGCTGCTGTCTTTCAGTAACTGTGGCCCTTTGAGCAGTTTAGTTGAATAGCCCTGCTCTAGACTGAGTGTGGATCCAGGCCAACATTTGAAACTTTAAAAACTTAATAATTTCTAACAAGCTGTTGTCATATACAGTAAAGGTGGTTACATACAGCGATGACCACAATGCATCACAAAACCCCAAGTATGAGCACGAGCGGTGACTGTAAAATGGAAAATGCAGTCTATTTAGTGTAATATTAAATAATATACGTAGATTAGTCATGTTAAAAGTTCTCGATTGTCTTTGTCAAAAGATTTTATCTAGAGAGCGAACATGTCAACTCAAAGTCCATCCATTCATTGTTCTGGAGTCGGGTCATGGGGGCAACAGTTTGAGCAGGGAGGTCCAGACAAATCTTTCCACAGCCACCTCTTACAGCTCTTCTGGGAGGACCCCAAGGTGTTCCCAGGCCAACCGATAGACAAGTCTCTCTAGCGTGTCCTGGGTCTTCCCTGAGGTCTCCTCCCAGTTCGACATGCTTGTAAAAACCTACCCAGGGAGCATCCTTATCAGAAGCCTGAACCACCTCAACTTGCTCCTCTCGATGTGGAGGAGCAGCGGCTCTACTTCGAGTCGTTCCCAAATAACTGAACTTCTCACCGCCTCTCTAAAGAAGAGTCCAGCTACCCTGCGGAGAAAACTCATTTTGACCATTTGGATCTGCGATCTTGTTCCTTCTGTCACTGCCCAGAATTCGTAACAATAGGTGAGGGTAGGAAGGTAGACCAACTGAAAACAGAGCTTTGCCTTGCAGCTCAGCTCTCTCTTCACCACAACAGACCGGCACAAAATCTGCAATACTGAGGAAACTGTACCAGTCTGTCGATCCCCCGCACCATTCTTTCCTCAGTCATTAACAAATCCCTGAGACACTTGAACTCCTTCACTTGAGTCAGATCCTCATTCCAAACCAGAGAGGACAGTCCACCCTTTTCCAACTGAGGACTTTTGATGGCCTCAGATTTGGAGGTGCCAGTTCTCATCCTAGAAGATCACTTCAAAGTGATGAGGTAACATTTTTATAAGCCAGAAGAATCAAGGGATGCTCTTAATGGGTGTCTGACTGTGAGAGTTCAAAGTGCCTGAAGATTAGAAGAATCATAAGTGGAGGTTGGTAAAAACAGGCATAAGGGACCCAAAATGGGAACAAGTAAAAGAAACAGACTTTCTTGCTGGTAGCAAATAACTATAATTACAAAGTTAAAGAAAAATTGTGGTATCCAAAACAGCAACGCTTGTTTGACAGAAGTTTTGTCTCAATGGCTGTGTGCAAGTGGACACAAATAGAAGAGGGCCTTACTATCAGTACATACGGCTATAAAAAATAAAACACACAAAAAAAACACATAGATGGTTTCCAGTGATCACTCATTGAAATATTTTGCTCACCTGTGTCATCTTACTGAAGTCCAGTCCTGGTCTGGGGCAGGGCAAGACATCTGGGTCGTGGCGCCTCTTCAAACGTGGTTTGCGCATGTCGCAGGGCTGCGAGTGACATCGTGGCAGTGCAGGGTGCAGGTCCCGCCTAGAAGAGGATGGTGTGCTGCAGGCTGAAGTGGGAGATGAAGACAAGGCTGGATGTTCCAAGCCAGAAAAGCCATACGTGGGAGCAAAAGTAGGTGAGGGCTGGGGGTGCAAAGAGGCTACACAGGGCCGCTGAATGTGCACAGGAGAAAGGGAAAATCGGCGCTGCAAGACTGAGTGAGAAACCAGGGGTGCTGGTGAAGATGAGCAAGAGGAATGTTTAGCAAAAGAGGCAGAATAAGCTCCTTTTAATGTATCACAGGGGTCCCATGGAAAGCCCCACGATAAAGCAGAGTCAGAAGACTGTGCTAAACTAAAAAAATTTGGGCTAGAAGAGGAGTGTAAAGACGAGGAAGTAAAGGAAGAGCTGGCACCACAAAGTGGCAAAAAGCTGGCCCCAGACCCCAAACTAGATGCTCCTCTACTATGGCAGCCTCGTTTGACCGGAGTCCAAACTTTTGATGAACTCGGGTGCCAGGTCGAGCGGCACTGGGACAGATCCTCTGGAACAGAGAGGGAACGGCAGTGGCGTTTTGAAGGTGGCGGGGGTGAACTTTGGGAAGCTTTGTCTGTGAAGGCAACCTCCGGTCCCTGGAGTGGGTCTCCAGGCCATAGGGAGTCTAGCTCGCAGGAATCAGCCAAAACATGCGCCGTAGATGACAAGTGTGTAGCTGAACTGGTCCCTGAAAGTGTAAAAACAAACAAACAAAAAAAACATGACACAGATGTCCCTACTAGTCACAGATATTTGTCTCAGTTTATCTGACTTGCCTTGTTTGGTAGGACTGGAGCCCACTGCAGGTAGTGACTGTAAAATATAATTTAAAAAAAATGCAGTAACCTACTTTATAAACCTATAATTAAAATGGTCTGAAGAGCAATATTTAGTTTATTATCTTACTCACCACACTGGCATTGAAAGAAAAAGCCTTGTGATAGGGTTCCTCTAAACTCTGCTTGTGGAGCTGCTCTGTGATAAGTGTAACCATAATTACGGAGCAAGGAGACACATGGAGGTACACCGAGGGTGATGGAAGTTTTAGTCGTCAGAATTCTGGCGTGGTTTGTGGTGTCCCCGCCACACCTCAACCATCCAGACCGACCACTATTCTCACCGTACCGTCATCCTCATCTTTGTGCCACCTGAAGGGACAGATGAGAACAGATTAGAGAAGAGCATCAATGATTAAACAGAGCTGGTTACACAAAATTCAGAGAACTAATTTAGCAGTAGCTTACAAACACCAGATTATCTGAGGAAAATTAAGAAAGTAAAGCATTGGTCATATCTGCAAACAACTACAGCAAAAAAACAATACGTGTGTGCAGCCTTGTGCACACATGAAAGGCAGAAATTTGTGTTCACAAAGAGACCCCAAACAAAGAACTATTCCGCATTCCATCACGAGTGCAGAGCCAGATGAAAAAAGCAACTATAGTGATATACAAAATACTGAATAGGTACCAAGTGTAAGCTTGACGGCCAATACAAGGGCAGCGATACTAGCTGGGTCCAATAAGCTAGAATGACTTCAAGACTTGCTATAATGCTGAGAGTGGAAGGGGGAGGGACAGACTCCAAGGGAGAGGATGGGGGAAGTGTGTGGAAAACTGAATGGGACAGGGTTTGAAGCATGTCATAGCTTTGCAAAATAAAGGGGCACAAAAGGAATAGTGCACAGGTCATATGGACATAAATTACCAACTTCATTCAATCTAGTCCTACATCCTTGTGGCATGTTCTTTATAAATAAGTAACACAACTTGAAATTAGGATCAAACGACTGAATGAAATAAAGCCATCATATACATTTATTTTTGGATTAACTTGTGCTGGGCCAAGAAAGTAATCTTCACTAAACTTTAAACAGCAAAATCATTTACTTCCTTAACTGTAATTTAAAAAAGACAATATGTAAACTGCTCTAAAACACAACATGGCCTTGTAGCCTTTGCACTGAAGGCTACAAAAGTGCAGAGGCTAAAGTTCACTTAGTGCTTGAATCAATCTCAACAGTAGCTTAAATGGTATAATTTTAAATACTATTTACTACATTAGTCGTATCTAAGTATTTAAATAGATTTACAGCGATAAATGAGACTTAGCTTCAGCTCTGTTGGCCTCCGGGCCCTTCCTCCTCATGATAAACTCGGGGCTACACTGCTAACCTAGTTCCACAAAACGAAATCCCACGAAATCCCATTTAGTGGCAGCAGATCTGAATCTAATGTAACCAGAGAAACGCAATGCTATCAACAATTACCACCATGTCATTTCTAAATACCTCTTATCGATGAGGCCTACGAAGTGGAAGAGAAAAGACATCGAGAGATGTTACAAATTAAACACTTTTATCCTAAAGATAATTACAGAATGACGAGCAAGACTAGTAGTTAACATGTAATTGCGCAGCTCACTTATTTCTAACATGGCACGTGTCTGTACTCAATTCATTTAATTTATTTCAATGAATTAGCTTCAATGTGAATGTTAACCAGAATTATTTTTGCAAAATCTTGGACCAACATGAGCTAATGACCAAATTGGTGAAGCTAACCTCGTAACACGCAGCCCGTGAGACATTATCGTTAGCGATTATGTTAGTTAGCTGAATTGATAGCATATTACATGTCAAGTAAAATTACTATTATTTTAATTCACGTCACTCATTGGTCTGCATTTTGGTAGACGGATAATCAGTTGTTCACAGTTTGTTGAGGCTATGAAAACATGCGTTAGTGAATTGTATAGCCGCTAGCTTGCTTGCGCAGTCTCTTTGAAAGCTAGCATGCTACAGCTGACCTGATGCGTTACCTGCTTTCTGTGGTTCCTTAGCAACCAGCACTGCACCGCGAGTGCACAGAGGCACGCTAGCTGATTATTTATAGCATCTGGACGATACCAATGTGGAGGTGTTTATTGTACGTCGGCTTTCCATACTAATGTTTTTTTTTTGTAAATACATATAAAACACATTTAATTAGAAAAATAATATGTTACATTTTGTGCTTTCTAAAATAAACTTGCAGTATGGTAAACATCTTACGTGTCACTGACCCCCTTTGCAGCCTAGAAGTTAAACCGACCGTAAAGCTGCAACCTAAATTTAAAACCGGTTTAAAAATTACAATTTCTATTATATTTTGTCGAATAAAAACAAAGGGGAATTTTAGAGTTTGGTTTTCAAATATTTGTGATAGAAAAAAATACATTTTTACGTTAAATGAAACCGGAGTGATTTTTAACGCATGCGCAGTAGCGGGTGTAGCTGTACAGTAGAGTTGTTGAGACGTTAGCAAAAAAGTTTAATTAAACTACGGATATCATCTTACATGTAATGACTGCATAGCTCTGTGTTGGTCTTTCTAACAGTCTTTGGTGTTTATTTCATATAAAAGTTGCACTTTGGAAGTATGGCAGAGGAAAAACTTAAAAAAGAAGAAACACTCGCTATGAGACTTAGGTTTATCGGGTATGTACAAGCCGTAGGTACTGAATGAATTGTACCCAACTTGGTGCTAACTCTATTTTTATTTTCTTAACAGTCAGTCTTGTAGGCTGTTTTATTCTGAGGACCCTGTGAAAATAGTCAAAGCAAGAGGACAGTATCTGTTCGATGAAAATGGGAAACCCTATTTAGATTGCATCAGTAATGTTCATCATGGTATTACTTAAATTTGTTACTTAAATGTATATAAATACTGTCTCCTGTTGGCAGCAAGTTTAACTGAATGTTCTCTTCTATAGTGGGTCACTGTCATCCTGCTATTACTAAGGCTGCTGTGGCTCAGATGGACCTCCTGAACACTAATTCACGGTTCCTACATGACAACATTGTCCTGTATGCAGACCGTCTGGCTTCCACCTTACCTGAGAAACTGCGTGTCTTCTATTTCGTTAACTCTGGGTAAGAAATGCATCAACATCCTCGCAGAACGATATAACTTTCCAGTGACTGCACATATTATGTGACAGGTCAGAGGCCAATGATCTGGCCCTACGCTTGGCACAGCAGTACACCCAACACGAGGACGTCGTAGTACTCGACCAGTAAGTATCCAACTCGGTCATGTCGACAACATGCTTTTCAAATAAAACAAACTCTTCTTCTGCACCAGTGCATACCACGGGCATCTAAAATCCCTCATCGACATTAGTCCCTACAAGTTTCGGAAACTGGCGGGACAGAAAGAATGGGTTCATGTGGTGTGTAGTTATACTATCAGTGCACAAACTGCAAAACGACATTGGACCTCTGCTTATCTAAAAGGACACATTTCATCCTCCCAGGCACCCTTACCAGACACTTACAGAGGCATATACCAAGAGGATCATCCCAGCCCTGGTCAAGCGTATGCCGATACTGTTAAAAATCTAATAGAGGAGATCCACCAGAAAGGCCGTGAGGTACCGTACTTTAAACGTTAACTCAGGAGAAATTTAAAAGATGTCCCAATACAAACCTTATATGCTGTGATAAACGTGATATTTATGTCGCTTTTCCTTCAGATTTCTGCCTTCTTCGTTGAATCACTGCCGAGCGTCGGGGGACAAATCGTCTTACCTGAGGGATATTGCTCTAAAGTTGCAGAGTGAGTATTGATCCAGGTTTCTTCTCTGCCTTTGCCACTAGTGCTGTAATGACTACGTTAATGCATCTCACTCGTGCTCTCCAGATACGTGCGCTCAGCTGGGGGAGTGTTTGTGGCAGATGAAGTGCAGACCGGTTTTGGACGCGTGGGGAGTCATTTCTGGGGTTTCCAGCTGCAGGGAGAGAACTTCTGTCCTGATATAGTGACCATGGGAAAACCGATGGGTAACGGGCATCCCCTGGCGTGTGTGGCAACTACCAAGGAGATAGCTGAAGCTTTCACAGCTAATGGAGTGGAGTACTTCAATACGGTGTGTACACAGCAACCTTATTAGTAGTATAACTGAGGTCTCTCTTGTAAATGAGTCCTCATGGCTCAATGGGACTAACCTGTTTAAATAAAGGTTGAATGAAAAAAAATATTTAGTACGATGACGCTCGTCCATTGTTAGCCTAAACGTTTTGTACTGAAGAAAGTCTTTCACGATGACAACCACACATAAAACAATTTATTCCTGTCCAATTTTGTTTTGTTTGCAGTTTGGGGGGAATCCAGTGTCGTGTGCCATTGGCCTAGCAGTGCTCGACGTGATAGAAAACGAGGATCTCAGAGGAAACGCCACAAGGGTGGGAACACATCTCAAAGATTTGCTTAAGAAACTACAAGCAAAACATGAAATCATTGGAGATGTCCGGTAAGAATAGCAATACTATCTTACACCCGTACAATTTCTTTATGTTGTTTAGGGCAGCAGTCTGCAACGTTTTTGATCAAAAGAACCATTTTCACCCCTTCGCTCACTAAACAAAATGTGTCCTTTCTGTGAATATCAACTGGTGGCCCATGTGCTGCTTCAAGTTTGTTGAAAACGGGGTTTTCAGACAGCGGGCAAGGCATTATAAAATGTAAATTATGTAATCAGTTTGAACATTTATGGATATTTTTACATTTTAGGACAAGAGCATATTCATGTAAAGAAGGGGAAAAAATTGAATAAAGCATAAAGTGTTGGCTATATAATTGTGCCTTATTTTAAAAACAAAAATGTTCATTTACTTTATTTTTAATGCTTATTAAACTGGCTCACCGTATTTCCTCTAAGCAAAATGTCCTAAAGGTTTTCCAAAATAATTTCTGGTGGATTTGAGAGAAGGATCCCACTGCAGGGCTGGAAGTTGGATAAATGACGCAGTTAAAGCTAACCATGTGTTAGTATCATTTAAACAGTTGCAGAAAAACGGATAAAATGTGCCTTATTTGTTGGGGGTTTAAAAATTTTGTTGGTTTTGATCCAAGCTTCAAGGAGCCGCAGCTTGCAGACCCTTGATTTGGACAAATAGTTCAACTTGTTTAAACTTCTTTGTAACAGCCACATGCCATGAACACCTTTGATACCAACTACCTAAGCATCTTCAGAAGTTACCAATGAGAACTTTAAGCATGACAGCAGGATGTGCATCTTCCCAGGATATGCTATATTTTCACTTAATTAACGTTTTTATTCTGTTCATTCTAGAGGCGTAGGGCTGTTTGTGGGGCTGGAGTTGGTGACAGACAGACAGAAGAGAACTCCTGCCACTAAAACAGCTGCATGGGTGGTGAAGAGGTATGACACCAAAGTCCAAAGTGCTGCAGTTCTTATGTTCCTCTAGTGATTTTATTTCATTGTGACCTTTGTGGCAGGTTGAAGGAGGAGGATCGGATCTGTGTGAGTACAGACGGGCCCTGGGAAAATGTGCTGAAGTTTAAACCCCCAATGTGCTTCAGTTCAGAAAACGCAGACCTGGTGGTGCAGTGTATCGACCGCATCCTCACGGGTTAGTTACACATCGTTACACAAGCCTTAACCCTTTAACGGGTTTTAAACTCTACTTGTTGTAACATTTGTTAAAGGAATATCAATCTAAACATTTTGACAACTGTAAAAGATGAACTGATTTACAAAACATTTTGTTCGCAGACATGACGGATAACAATCTCAAGCTGGACAATGAAGACATCTAAGGTTTGTGAAACCTGTAAAAAGCTTTTAATTGCATGAAACATTGTCAGATGGTCACATTCATTAACTTCAGAGGTAGATGCGCTTGAGGCTGCAGCAGATCAAACAATTTCTTCAAGTATTTAGCAGAACACGTTTTATCTTCCACTCAGCTCTGACCGCTGTGAGAATCGTGTTTAAAGCCACAAGACCAAGTCAAGAAAGAGACGATGTCAAACATTAAAACTGTAAACCCAGGTGTGCCAACTATACTGTATGGGTAGTCGATGTTCTTTAATGGATTTAAACTGAAACAGTCACAATATCAGCTTAACTACTACTTTCTGGGAGATTAGGGCATCTATAAATATAATTTCCTCATTCTTCACTAAATGGTTTTGGATTATATTAATAAACATTTTCTGTATGTTTGCAGGAAAAGGCTAAAAATGACTTCATACAAGGATGGATAGCAGGGAACAGTTTCATTCATTGTGTGAAATTGTTACCATTTAAAATAAAAATGATCTACATTAATAGTTTCTTGATTTTGGGTTAACTTTGTTTCTCATTTAAACATAGCTGCCATTGGGAGAAACTTGTTATGAATTTAAAAAAAATCATGATTTGCAGGGTGTGTATAAATGACTTGGAAAAATACTAAAATAATTATTTTAAAGAATGCATACGAGCCTTGAGATGATGCTGCCGACAACGCCAACAATATTTACCACTTTAAAAAGCAATCAAATTAAAATCTGAACATATCGTTTCATTCAGTCGTGATTAAAACACTCAACCTCCAACATACACGTATTCACATGTTCCCAATACACACGAGGCTAAAAACTTACCAGCACATTGTCTTTAAATCTTGGACACATTCACAAAAATGCTGAAGTACTGCAGTTTCATATCTAGTGGGGTATTAACACACAGCCAGTTATCCTGGAGGTAGAGAAGCTCTCTCCCACAGCTCTCCAAAGAGGCATCCGAGGAAATGTTAACATTACTTGAGACAAAACAAGCAAGCCATTTAACAGTACAAAAACATTTAACTTTAACTTTACAAATAACCAAAAGATCCAGTTGGTAATATAAACCAAAATTTTATTTTTACCAATTTTGCCCAAGACACTAGAGGAATGAGTTATCAGTGATAGAGGGAATACCCTCGTACATTAACAGGCTTGCGTTAACACTAGTAAAGCCACTTAAAAATTGTAGACATGTTGGGGAAAGAACCTCCTTAAAAGCCAAAAACAACAAAAAACAAACAAAAAAACAAAACAAAAAAAAAACAGAAAAAATACTGGTTGTCTTCATCTACATGGTTATCCACAGCACTCACTTAACATGGTTATAACCCCCCCTTTTTAAACCTCACTCCCACATCTTAAGCCATGTAACGTCCAACACTCAGCATGTGAAAACTAAAAATCTAGAAACACACACACAAAAAAAAAAAGCAATATTGTTTTATTTGAGCTTTACAAGCTCTTGCTCCTGCTCATCTGTCAATCCAGTAGACATGTAAAAATACAACCATACAATACATTAGATTCAAAAAAGGTACCAAAAAGTACAGTAAAAATAACACTTCCATCGCTGGAAATGTACATGGACACAAAACAATATAAAATAAAAAGTGGAAAAGTGACAATTGCTTCCCCAGTTCCTCACTTGATCTGTACAAATGGAGCATGAGTCCAAATTTCTGCCAACTCCAAAGGAAAAGCCAGAGTCCATGTTCGCTGTGGTCAGATCATGGATCTCTTTTTCTTATTTACTTTAGACCTTAAGAGAAAAACATGGTGCTTAACGTTACTGAGAATAAACCGAAGGTGGCATGCAAGTTACACACAGACAGACAGGTGCATGAATGAGTCTGACAGGTCAGTGAATGGTAAGACACATTTTGGGGGCGGAGGGGACACGGCTGCTATCTATGACATCTAGCACCCAGGATAAAGGTCAAACGGCCCTTATTCTTTTTTTTTTTTTTTTTTACCACCACCAATCCTTACTGATCAAGTAGTCTTTGTAGAGATGCATCTCAAGATGGCAGACAGGTGGAATGAATCCATCTTTAAATGATCAATGACCCCACATCACCGCCTACTCTAACCCCACCACAATGCTTGAATGGATTTAGAGTAGAATGAGATTTTGGGGTCAAAAGGCACTAATGGTTACAGCTACGTTCTCATACTACCACGGATGATGCAAGAATGCATACCTGCACTACGTGTGATCAGTATGGCTTGTAGCTACTCTGGTGGCCTCCACGTCTTGGAGTTTTCCCATAGCTTGTATTGCCCTGGTCTGGAGGACAAGAGAAAAAGGGACTGAGATCTTCTGTACAACAAGAGAGGACCAAGAAAATAAAGTTTCTCTCATTCTTTGAGTCTTTCCCTGGGGGGGCACTTATCGCTTACTGTAATCGTAGCCAGCCCCATAGCCGTAATAACCAGCAGAGTAGTCATAGTTGCCATAGCCACCATATCCATAGCCTTGCTGTCCATAACCATAGCCCTGGTTGTATCCCTGGTTCCAGTAGTTGTTGTAGCCTTGATTCCAGTTCTGGCCCTGGCCTAGAAACAACAGGTGAGGCTTTTGTCACAACTCTCAAGTCACGCAGCAACCAGAGTCAATTATTTTGTGAAACAAAAATGTAAATGTAGCTGGTATACACAAAGACACAAAAGAAGCTTACCTCCACGTCCCCTGCCACGTCCTCCATATGCACCACCACCACCACCACGGGCACCGTACTGCTGCTGCATGTACACCTCTTTGGGTTGGGCAATTTTAAGTTCACACTGTAATGCCACACAATGGTACATTTGTAAGAAATGGATTGTATTTGAATAATTCAGGTTTATCATCACTTGTATAACAAAGAAGGGCGGTCTTTACCTTGCTTTCACCAACAGTGTGGTACTTCTTTTCCATAGCCTTCTTGACAGAGGCTTCTTCTTTATATGTAATAAATACAAATCCCCTCCTTTTCTCAGTTTTAGGATCTTGTGGAAGTTCAATGGTCTCTACCTACATAGGAGGAAAACCAACTTATGAAGCAGCCAGCAGCACAAGCTTACGTCTTCAAATACACAAAGAAGCATTTGTTGTACCTCTCCATAGGTTTCAAAGTATTCCTGAATTGCTTCCTTAGTGGTGTCAGGGTTAAGGCCTCCCACAAAGATTTTCTTTACTGGTTCCTTCTTCATTGCCATGGCTTTTTTAGGGTCAATCTGTCGGCCATCTAGCCTGTGCTCCTTCTGTTCAAGAACCTACACACACACACACACACACCACAAAAGTTAATTTCACGACTCTGGAAAAATATCAAATGTCCTCTTAAAACAACCTTACCTTATCTACGCTGGCAGAATCTTTAAAAAGAATGAAGCCGAAGCCTCTTGACCGGCCTGTCTGCTGGTCCATCTTGATGGTGCAGTCCGTCACCTCACCAAATTTTGAGAAGTAATCTTTGAGGTCCTTCTTGCTGGTGTCCCAGCTGAGGCCACCAACAAACATTTTCCTGAACGCAGAGGCAGAGACACACGTTTAGCTCCATACTGTGGTGATGGGGATGGATGTTGCTGGCAGAGGGGGTGTAAATATCCATAATGTACATAGTGTTCCAGCACATCTGTTGACCCACCGATGTGTGGGGGAGGGGGAGCCTGCAGGTGCTATAGCTTTAAGCTACGCCACAAACTATATTTAAATAAATTTGATGATATAAGCCAAATACAAGTAGATATTTACATTTTAATCAATAACCAATGTTAAGATTGAATCCCTGCTGAGGCGCCCATCCCCCTCCACTCCGCACATGGCGCCAACAAAAGGCCGGCAGAACAAAGAGACATTGTAAACCAGCACTGGCCATTTTATCATCGACTATCCGCAACAAAACGGAATAATTTATGGTGTAACACTCACCCGGCATCGTCCTCGCCCTTGCTGGCGTCGATCTGGCCACCGTCCGTGCCGCCGTTGTGCGAGTCGTCCCCCGCGCCTTCTCCGCCGTCGTCGGTCTGACCGGCTCCGCTGAAGTCCTCGTCGACTTCGTGGCCGTTTTCCGACGTTTCCATGTACTGCTGCTCCGCCTCAGACATTTTTATGATATAGAATACCTAAAAAGGTTCGGAAAAAAGCGGTCAGATTGCCGTTTGGCGCCTGTGTTTTACACTACGTCGTACCCGCACTTCGCCATTAACACCGTGCCAACTGCGAAGACTTCCCACCATTTTGACCGGCGGAAACGCGATCCATACGTTCACTGATTTTAGGCCACGAGTGCCCAATAATCAAGGGTGGACACATTTTTTACACGTTAACGACGCAGTATCCGAGGTACACTTCTGTTAGAGGTAAAGATTAGGAAAGTTGTCCCCGTCTGGGCCATACTGATAATCGAGCCTGTGCTAAATTCGCAGTTACGTAAGCCAGAAGGCCGCGCAGCACGAAATGTCGGCTAGTGATAAACAACCATTTTTACTATACATGAACGTAGCGTATGGAAATCGACAAATTACACAACCTAAATGTCAGTCTTGTACAAAAAAACAGACAAGATGAATAAATAAGAAAATCTACTTACTGGTAACACAACCGGAGAGCCCTCTTCAAGATGGATTCTCCCACACGACGACAACTCGTGGTTGGTTTTTCAGAACCGGCAGAAGGGGGGAAAAAACGAGTCCTCTGCTGAAGAGCCTTCCGATTGGATAAACTTAGCTGTCAATCATATCAATGACCAATCGCCAGCGCGGGCTTATCACAAGTTCACGCCTTCAGAACACAGGAAGGAAGGGAACTCCATGAACCCATTTCTGCTGCTGAAAGAAAATGTGTTCAGTTTTCGGTGGCGTTGAAGTAAAAAAAAACCCGCCATGCTTTAGGGTTGAATAATGACTAAAATTGTCAGCTTTGGCATAAAATTGTTGCATTTCACCCAGGGTTTGACTGAAATGTGCTGCAGTGTCGCAGCATAATCGGATTCGTTAAAAAAAAAAAAAAGATTGCGGTTGGTGCCATTAAAACTGTGGAGTTGCAGGTTTAATTTGAACTGGTCATTTTAATTACTGTAATTTTACCAAGATGAACTACTTGTAAATATATATCCTTCAGTTTTAACTATAACGTCTCTTAGGAGGAAAACTGGCTTTGTGATAAATACCCCAGCAACTGAATTACATTTTTTAAATGTTATTTATCTTTTAAATATTTACTTTTTTGTTCTAAAAATACTTATTGAGCACACATTGAGCAATGATCTTTTTCTGATTATTGTAATTAAATTTCTTTATATTGGCAAAATATCAAATAAACCGAAATACTCTGTTTTGTTTTTTGTACAGTAAGTGGGACGATTTAAATTGATTCAAGTGCTTTTGAAGGACTTTGTGCAAGTCTGTAAGGTTCTCAAATGAGCAGTCAATGAACCAGGTCAACATAAAACTAAAATATTACTGGTATTTACTCCACCCTAGTTAATGATCTTGTCATGTCACAAATGCAGACTTTAAACCCCATGGCTGTCTTACCAGACAGTACTTGACGACAGACAGGCCTACTGGATGTATACCAGAACAAAACACATTTGACAATTCAATTTATTTGTTTATAGCAATAAACTAATCTGTTCATTATAAACACTGAATCCCTTTTTTCATTTTCCCCAAATTGCCTGTTACTGGTAGTTTTCATCTTCCCATGACTCCGTCACATATTTGAGGCTGGTCTGGATTGTTTTTCATCAACCAATCAGCAAGCCAAATCTGTTGAGAGCAAATACGAAGGATTATTGTAATCAACGTTTAATCTAAATTAGACGTGGCTAATAACCCAGTATATCTTCCCGTAAATGTAAGATCAGTACTTACACGGGGGTTGAGGGGCTTTTCTTTGCAGAGCTCAGTGAGTCCACGTAACAGAACTGGAGTCACGTACTTGCTCAGGTATTCTTCAGTTGTTTCTCTTGAAGGAAAGAGTTCAATTGTTGCTGCGGAGAAAAAGAACAAAGTGGTAAAAAAAAAACTGTAGGTTTAACATGATTAATTTATTTAAAGAAGAAGAATAAGTAAGAGAGTGACTTACTATTTGGAAACATGAATTTAATCTCCCTCACAGCTGCATGAAAGGAGTCGCTGCCATGGAGTGCATTGTGCAGGTCAGAAGACCCGTATTTTGCTCGAAGACTGGGGAGAAATAGAGAATGTTCTCAGAGTACAGGCCTGTAGCAGCTAAAGTAGAAAATACTAATTCAGGAGAAAGGAAGGCCAACACTGAAACTGTAGTTTGAACTGTAGTATAGAGTCAAATACCACATCAGATACATTTTATATATTAAAGAAAAACTAAAGCCAGCGTTACTCTGACTCACATGTATCTCATGAACCGCTGAACCAATTCTGTTTAAAATTTCAGAACATAATCATTAAACGTACATCTACAACTGATTAGTTTTTTAAAGATAACTCTATTCAAAATGGCTGCTACAACTAATCAACCTTACCACATAAATAGTTATACCTGAGTCGGTTTTACAAATATTGAGCTAAATTTAGCTGATAGTAGCCGAGAGTCATTCTCAGCACTCACTCAGAGAGCTAACACACCTCACATGAGATCACACATCAATTAAGGAAGACTTTACTGTCATTCACATCACATGTAGCACATGAGGTGGAACAAAACTGTGTACTCAAGGTCCCAGTTACACACAAAAATAGCAAAAATATAAATTGTATAAAAAAATAAACAGTATATAAAGATCTAAGATATGCACTACAATAGTATAATATAAATAAGGTGTATTAAACAACAGCCTGAACATGAGTCTGTTGTGAGCAGATGAGTATGAATACAGCAGCTTAAAGAAACCAGCAGCACAGATAAAGTGTCAAATGTCCAATTAAAGAGTCATTACAGTGATTTTTCTGGATAGATATTCATGAGTCCAACAGCCTCAGGGTAGAAGCTGTTTCGCAGTCTAGTGGTTCTACACTTAATGCTCCTCAACCTCCTGCCTGAATGGAGTGGGGCAAAAAGTGTGTGCTGGGTGAGCAGGGTTCTGCATGATACAGGTGGCTCTCTTCCTGCATCTGGAGGTGTAGATGTCTGTGATGGCGGAGAGCCTGACTCCAACAGACTTCTGTGCAGCCTTCACCACTCTCTGCAAAGCTTTTCTTTCTGCAGCTGTGCAGCCTCCATGCCACACGTTGATGCTGGAGCACAGGATGCTCTCCACTGCACACCTGTAGAAGGAGGTGAGGACTGAGCTTCCCAGTCCAGCTCGCCTCAGCCACCTGAGGAAGTAGAGTCTCTGATGAGCTTTCTTGATGAGACTGGAAGTGTTGTTGCCCCAGCTGAGATTGTTAATCAGGTGCACACCTATAACTGGAGACCACTTCCACTGCAGATCCTCCTATGTACAGGTCCTTCTAAAAAAATTAGCATATTGTGATAAAGGTAATTATTTTCCATAATGTAATGATACAAATGAAACTTTCATATATTTCAGATTCATTGCACACCAACTGAAATATTTCAGGTCTTTAATTGTTTTAATACTGATGATTATGGCATACAGCTCATGAAAACCCAAAATGCCTGTCCCAAAAAATTAGCATATTTCATCCCACCAATGAAAGACAAGTGTTTTTAATACAAAAAACGCCCACCTTCAAATAATCATGTTCAGTTATGCACTCAATACTTGGTCGGGAATCCTTTTGCATGAATGACTGCCTCCATGCCACGCCGCATTGAAGCAATCAGCCTGTGGCACTGCTGAGGTGTTATGGAGGCCCAGGATGCTTCGATAGCGGCCTTAAGCTCATCCAGAGTGTTGGGTCTTGCGTCTCTCAACTCTCTCTTCACAATATCCCACAGGTTCTCTATGGGGTTCAGGTCAGGAGAGTTGGCAGGCCAATTGAGCACAGTAATACCATGGTCAGTAAACCATTTACCAGTGGTTTTGGCACTGTGAGCAGGTGCCAGGTCGTGCTGAAAAATGAAATCTTCATCTCCATAAAGCTTTTCAGCAGATGGAAGCATGAAGTGCTCCAAAATCTCCTGATAGCTACCTGCATTGACCCTGCGCTTGATAAAACACAGTGGACCAACACCAGCAGATGACATGACACCCCAGTGACTGTGGAAACTTGACACTGGACCTCAAGCAATGTGAATTCTGTGTCTCCTCTCTTCCTCCAGACTCTGGGACCTTGATTTCCAAAGGAAATGCAAAATGTACTGTAATCAGAGAACATAACTTTGGACCACTCAGCAGCAGTCCCAGGCGAGATGCTTCTGACACAGTCTCTTGTTCAAAAGTAGCTTGACCTGGGGAATGCGGCACCTGTAGCCCATTTCCTGCACACGCCTGTGCACGGTGGCTCTGGATGTTTCTACTCCAGACTCAGTCCACTGCTTCCGCAGGTCCCCCAAGGTCTGGAATCGGCTCTTCTCCACAATCCTCCTCAGGGTCCGGTCACCTCTTCTCGTTGTGCAGCGTTTTCTGCCACACTTTTCCCTTCCCACAGACTTCCCACTGAGGTGCCTTGATACAGCGCTCTGGGAACAGCCTATTCGTTCAGCAATTTCTTTCTGTGTCTTACCCTCTTGATTGAGGGTGTCAATGATGGCCTTCTGGACAGCAGTCAGGTCGGCAGTCTTACCCATGATTGCGGTTTTGAGTAATGAACAAGGCTGGGAGTTTTAAAAGCCTCAGGAATCTTTTGCAGGTGTTTAGAGTTACGTCGTTGATTCAGATGGTTAGGTTAATAGCTTCTTTAGAGAACCTTTTCATGATATGCTAATTTTTTGGGACAGGCATTTTGGGTTTTCATGAGCTGTATGCCATAATCATCAGTATTAAAACAATTGAAGACCTGAAATATTTCAGTTGGTGTGCAATGAATCTGAAATATAAGAAAGTTTCATTTTTATCATTCCATTATGGAAAATAATGACCTTTATCACAATATGTTAATTTTTTGAGAAGGACCTGTACAGGGGGCGGCGGGGTTTAGGTGTGTTTGCCCCTTCTGAAGTCTACAACCATCTCCTTCGTCTTCTTCACAATGATGTGAAGGTTGTTCTTCATGCACCAGCTGTCCAGGTGTTCCACCTCCTGCCTGTAGCTGGACTCATCGTTGTTTGTGATGCATCCCACCACTGCTTTTAGGAGATTTGATTAAAAGGCCTCATTCCTTCTAATCATAAGATGTTCTTGGTTTAAAACTCAGGCATGAACGGCAGCAGGTGACATGCAGTCCCTCAAGGAATGGTAGGCTTTTCATTGAATTTGAGTCTGGATCTGTTTTGGATTAATTCAGTTTATAATTTGGACTCGTTAGTTCTTTGTTGTGAATTGGTTCCATATAAGTTGAAATGAACTGAAATGAACTGATGTGCAAACAATATTATTATTCATCTTTTTACTATAGCTGATACAGAAACTTCAGAAGGACATTTAATTAAACTAGTTATTATTATTATAGAGCACCTCTTTCTATGCCATCCTTTCATAAAATGCAGAAAATGCTGTTGAAATATAATAAATAAATAAAATGTGCAGAAAAATTTAAGACATACCACTCAGGATGAGTTTCTTTGGCTTTTGTGATGTTGGCAGGCCCTATAATGGACTTCCAGCGGGCTACAGCGTCGTCACGAGCCAGCGTCAAGGCAACAACGGGGCCGGAGCTCATGAAGGCCGTCAAGCTGGGGAAAATGAGTTTTCCATACTGGTCTGCGTAGAAATCACTACATTGCTCTGGACTCAGCTGCAGCATCCTCTTCTACCACAAAAATTATGGTTTTGGAAAATTCAGTGACGTGTACAGAGAAAGCTGAACATTATGCTTGAAAAATCATTAGTATTTTAGCTACAATTTTAAACTTTTGGATGGTCCAGATGTTTTTAAGTTTTGCAATGTAGAGACTTATGCATCTACATTTGAAATTATTACAGTCATAAAGTTGCTGTGGATTACTGCAGTTTGACAACAATATATGTATTGATTCATGTAAAGCATGAACAAAAATAACAAATTATTATGCACTAGTGCTGTAGAATGACATTTCATATTGAGCTGCACCTTAATGTTTTTAATTGAAGGCCTTGGCTGTGGAAATTATTAAAGAATAATTACAAAAGTAAAAGTATATCCACTGATGTCTTTAAGTTGCTTTTTAGGGTGTGTAGCAGCTATTGTTGCCAAAGAAAGAATATTTCATCAACTAACGTGTAAAATTTTATAAATGTGAAACATTTAAGTATTATTTGACCTTATAACTTATCTACAACTTTTCTTTTTTATTTTTTGAATTGTAAAATGAAAAAAAATCTTTTACATTCTTGGTCAAATTCAATGAAAAAAAAAACAAAAAAAAAAACCAGTGCCCAGAATAGAAATCAAACAAGAAGTTTAGTCAAATGTGTTTAAAATGATCAACGTTCAAGAACACTTACATCTTAAATAGCTTATTATTTATCTTTTTTTTTTTTTTTTAACTTCCCATACTGGCACACATTTCAATAAACATAGCTACAGGTTGTTGCTGCCCTCTAGCAGATAAATCTACATAAAAGTCAAACTGCCTTCAAAACACAGACCATAATTAGCTTAACTAATTGGAGTAGCGCCTTCATTATGAATCTAATATTTTAAAAACAAAATACTTGCATGAACATCTTGTGGGATTCTATTTTTTTTTTTCAAAAACATGAACCCACCTGCAGTATAATGAAGCCTGATTTGAGGATAACATCCTCAATCTCCTCGGATTTATGAATCGCGTCTGGTTTAATGATAGCCAGCGTTCTTTCTGCATAAATACATGACCCAGCATCCATCTTTACTCAGATGCTAATGCTAACTGAAGATACAGATAAAATAGCGAAAATTTCGTCTTATGCATAGATTTAACCTACATAACACTTATTCCGAATTTCTTTGAAAAGGCAGCAAGTTAAACTTAAAAAAAGTCACCAAGGTTTTCTTGATTGGGCGCTCTGGTGTTTGGTTGCTACGATACCGTTAAGCTCTACGGTGTCTCGTGTGGGACAAACCACCCATTTCCGAGCTCGCTTGTTTACACGTCACTTCACGATTTTCTTTCTGCTTTGTTGAAATCAGGTCTCTTAAAATGAGTACTCGAGGCTCAACGAGACTAACCTGTATAAATAAAGGTTGAATGACTGAATTAAAAGCAATCAGATATACAGTAATGCATATTATTTAGGGCAGCACAGTGGGGCAGTTGGTAGAGCTGCAAACTCCACCTCGGCTGGAGTTTGCATGTTCTCTCCATGCATACATGGGTTTTCTCAAAGTACTCAATTTTCCTCCCAGTCCAAAAACATGCATGTTAGGCTGATTGACAACTCAAACTTGTCCCTAGGTGAGTGAATGGTTCTCGTTTGTCCCTGTGATGGACTTGCAACCTGTCCAGGGTGTACTCCGCCTCTTGTGCAGTGATGGCCGGACATGGGCACCAATGACCCCCGCAACCCGAAAAGAAGGTAAAGATAATGGATGGATGGCATTTTATACACATGCCATGTTATACTATATATACTTCTTGAAGTACAGGTTTAAGAAAAAAAAAAAAAAACCTGGCTCTTAAATTAAAAGATCTGAAACCTCAAGCAAAATGGTATTTCAACTTTTATTCCAAACTTGCTACAAATAACCAGAAAGTTATGTCCCAAACTTTGTTTTTCCTACATTTAAAATCACTTCAGTAATGTTTTCCACAGATTCATCCTGTGCATCAATATGAACTGTCTGCTTAAGCTTTTTCTGTAAACTTCATATATACTTTTTTAAAAATCAAAACTGAGAACCAGACTGGCACATAAACTTTTCAAAGAGTCTCTTTATTCAAAACTTCTACAGCAAGTAGATCTTATCGTGTTCCAACAGTGACCTGCCACACTCTGATCAGGTTGTCAGTGTAGCCAGCAAACAGGGTCTGTAAAGAAATAAAAAATAGAAATTAAAACCAAACAATAGTCTGTTGTTTAGTCATTTTAGACAAAGTCATTCTCCCCTCATATTTGCAGGACTGTCAGCAGTATACATCAGAGTTAAAAGTGAATGAGTATAATCACAGGGGGGTTCCTGTACTAAGACCAACCACTTGTGAGAGGGTATGAACTCTGCATCCCGTACCTGTCCATCAGCAGACCATGCCAGCGAAGTACACTGTGGGGGTTCAGCCTTGCTGTTTGTGCTGATCACTTCCTGTTTCAGCTCATCCACAATGATCTTGCCTTCCAGATCCTAAATGAGGTGAAACACAAGTGGTGTTAGCACTAACAAAAGTCGAATACAAGACCATAATATAACCGGAACATTACCCAGTATTTAGTTTAGAGCTCAGAAACAGCCTCTGATATCATCAAATAATGCAGTTAGTTTGTAAAGTTTCCATCACAGCCCTCCAAGTATTCTACACCTGGTCCATATAACTTGACGTTTAACATCTAGTCTTACCCAGATCTTGATGCTGGGACCAGTGGCGGCGCACAGCCAGTAACGGTTGGGGCTGAAGCAAAGGGCGTTGATGGTGTCACCACTGTCCAGGGTGTAGAGGTGTTTGCCCTCGTTCAGGTCCCACAACATGGCCTGACCATCCTAAGAAGATTTTTTTAAAGACCATTAATGATCACGTATTCACTTAATGCTGGACAAAGATCTTGGCAAGTTCAAATACTGCTCAGAAACAGCCTCTATTTGTCGTCATTAAAAAACAGATGCATGTTGAGTTTTCCATCACTGCAGAAACCTGAAAACTTTCTCTGTGCTTCTAAAGCTTAGGAGTAAAAACTTCCAAGTGGAAGTTTACGAGGATTACCTTTCCACCAGATGCACACAGAGAACCATCAGGAGATACAGTCACCGTGTTCAGGAAGCCAGTGTGACCAATGTGGTTGGTCTTCAGCTTGCAGTTGGCCAGGTTCCACACCTGGAAGACAGGTATAATGATTACCACATCCAGCATGAGCACCCTCGTGTAGAGCTACAGAAGCTGTGCTCTCATCAACAAATATTATCTTCAGTGAACACGTCAGCTAATACATGCAAACATTTTTTAAATCATTGAGCAAACAAGCAACTTAGGCATAGAAAAAAAAAGTTCATGTGATAAACTTTCAAAATAGATACCTTGACCAACTTGTCCCAGCCGCAGGAGACAATGATGGGGTTGCTGCTGTTGGGGGAGAAGCGAACACAAGACACCCACTCAGTATGGCCTTCATCCTGAAAAATAACATTTAGAGATTTTAAATCCTCAACTTTATTTCAAGAACAGCTCTTTTATATGTAAAATCAGCTAAATCCAGCATGTTAGGCGTGAAACCGAAAATTATCAATGAAGAGTTGTTTTGTTGCTTTTTGACACTAATCTCAGATTATAAACAAGTTCACGAAGCATCGTCATTTATAAACAGGAATAATGCTGATGTACAGCACTGTTTTTAATCACAACTAACCATTGAAATAATTTAGTCTTGTTTCATTAGTCTCATTCCTGCTAAAGGCTCAATCCCTCGCCCATGGGTTCAACTCGTCCATACTCAAATCAGCCTGGCACAGTGGTTCAGTATTTCTTTCCATTGGGTGATTTCTTCTGCTTCCCGTTATTAGGACCTACTTGTCTGAGGTTCCAGGTGAGCCAAGCAAAGTATTTCACATCAGTTTAATGTTAAATGACCAAGGAGCCACATCAATGGATGAGGGACTGCTTTAAAATGTCAATTTTTCTCTGCCATTTTCTTTACAGCCACTCCCACTTGCTTTTATTCATTCTGTGGGACTACCCAGGCATCCCATAACCCTGATGTCCTCCATAGTTGAGTATCGCAAAAAACAGTGTCAAGCAGCCTTGCTACAAAGATACCACCTACATCAAAGCAGCACTCGGCGTACAAAAAAAAAAAAAAATCAACAAGACTACGTGGAATCAAATTAGGGCGAGGCGACTTGTGCTACATGTGACAACTGTAAAATGGTTTATGTTCTGCTACCTGATCCCAAAACCAAAAAAACCACCACTCACAAGCTGCCAGTGAGCATTATTAGATAACAGCTCACCTGAATGGTATACTTGCAGACTCCGAGTGTGTTCCACAGCTTGATGGTCTTGTCCCGGGAGCCAGACACAATCTGGCGGTTATCAGCAGAGAAAGCCACACTCAAAACGTCCTTTGTGTGTCCAACAAACTGGCGGGTTGTGGTACCACTGGAAAATGAAATTACATTAGAAATGGTCCAGACTAAAATCTTTTTATGTACCTTTACTTTGCACAGTCGTTTACAGGCCCCAGGTTCATGTCTTAACGATAATTATTAACTAAATAGTTCAGAAAATGCACAAGTGTGATCAACATCACAATAAGTAGTAACTATATTACACTAATAAAAGTTAATACTTCTTTACAAGTTTATTAAACACACTGCAACAATTATGACAATTTTACCTACTTACTGTCCTGTAAATAATAAACAATAAAAAATATTTCATCCATAATTTTACTCTCATTGGATAAAACAACGAGTTTTAAACTAAAAATAAAAACTTGGAACCTAAAACAACTCTTTGTGCAAGTGACGCAAACATGTCGGACTGCTTGGGATGGACGCCCTCAGAGCTTATGGACAACTCATTTCTTTTCATTTGTCAGCTCGTTTTGTTTAAAAAGCTTATTGAACAAGATCTTTAATAGCAGTAAGTTCAAACATTTATGACTTACTGTTTAAAACACTTTAGACCTTGAGAGAAATGCACACAGGTGTTTTAAACTAAAGTGTTCAGCTGTAAAATGCATCCAACCACATTCAGCCCCAGCGCTTCCTCTGACTTGCACTGGTGAATAAAAAAATGGAGGCTGCTTTAGACATGACTCTACAAGTCAACAGTTGCAGAGCTTTCAATGATAATCAGGATTTTAAAACTTTTCTGAATTGAGGAGAAGGTTTAGTAATCTCATATTTGTAAACCAAATCATTCTGAGTGCAAAGTCTTCATTATTATTTCCTAATCTTAGAAAATACTTAAAGCACCTTTGCGTTTACATACACAAATGTTGACGTGCAACCCTTTATTATTGGTCCAATATCACTTCATTAGTGTCCACACTGCCCAACATGTTTTGAGCACTCCAGATGTTCTACTGTAAACTGTACCCTACAAAAAGAATTTAACTCTACTGCATACGTCTCAATGCCTTTAATACTGCTGAATTTGTTTTGTGGGACTGTATTTTTGCACTAAACTATGCCTTAGTTAGCCATTTATGTTGTCTTGTTAATCGTCATTTAGCTTACCCTATACCACCAGAGTATGAATGAGCCGACAATACTTCAGTCTTTATAACGGTAGAGCAATTATGAAAACTGAGTGGCAGCAATAGTTTTTGAACACACAATAGACCAAACTAGATATCTGGGTTTCAATATCTCCATTTTAAGTCCATGTAAGGAAAACATAATACTCTTCACTCAATGGTCACTTCTACAACACAAGCTGACCGTGTATTGCAGGGGTGTCAGATCCTGGTCCATGA